TCTTACCTTTCCCTCTATCCTTCAGGGTGGGCAAGGGCAGTAGCTCCCAATTATGACTTATCTTTAGGGGCCTCTGTATCTTTTATTGACTTCCCTTAGTCCTGCTTACCCCTTAGTACACAATTCCTTTATTAAACTCTCTTTTGTTACCCATTAGTGTGTGCCTTGTGTTATTTTTCTGACAAGCCAAATGCAAACATATAACACACAAAGAAAGAAAGAAACAAACAAACAAACCCTTTGAACAGCAACACAGCAAGGTAATGTGTGAAACCTGAGGTTATTAACAACAATTCAGGTTTGAAAGCAATGTCTGTGAAGCAGAAAGGACCTGGTTGGTCCCATGAATCTCCCACAATCTAAGCTACCAGCACCCAGAACTTCCCTGAGGGAGCTCCATGTCTGTAGACTCTCCTTCATGGGTGCCCATGGCTCCTTGCACGCTCCACCCCAAAATGCAATCATGAGCATGTGGGCTAAGAGGAAGAAAACAAAACTGCCTTTGAGAGAAGGTAGTTATCAGCCGACTCTTACCTGAGCGCCATCTTGTAGTTGAAAGTGGTGAGTAGAAGAAAAGGAGCTTTCCAGGGTGTGCTGACCACCAGAGAATGCTCTCCTACCCCTGGATAGGAGGTGTCTGCAGGAGCAGGAGTGGAACCTGATGACCAACAGAGGCTTATCAAGATGCTGGGCAGCCCCTGTGACTTCCTGCACAAGGGGCACTGGCAAATGAGAATCTGGAGATGTGAGACAAGGGCCTCACGAGATGTTTCTCACTTTTCCTGAATCCAATGACTTATCTCTTCCTCTGTCCATTTTACCTCATCTGGTCCCCCTCCCTGTGAGGAATGTTTAAATTGGAATCTGTGACTGCCCATAGTGATCCTGTGTAAGAAGCTCACCCACTAAGCAAACTCTTCCGTAGCTAAAGAAGAGTTTGACATTCAGGCTTTTGCCTGGCCTGGCTCATCTGATCTGTTTCCAATTATTTCCAGAAGTAATATATGCATAATACTTTATTTCAGAGGACACCATAGTGTGCACAGTGAAATGTAAAGTCCTTCTTAATCTCATTCCTCAATGTTTACAGTTTCCATTATAATTATTTTACAAGTTATTTTATAGCTTTTCATTATAAAACTAAATTTCTATTTTTGATTTATCAACATCAACAACTGTATGTATTGTGTTTCTTTCTAAAATATAAGGAAATAGTGTGAAAAAATGGCATGGGAGTAAGCGGAAGCTAGTCACAAGCTCTCAGGACCAAACTGGAATTACAACTAAAATAAAAAAGTAACATTACCCTGAATAATCAAGTGAAGACTAGATGGAGAGATCCCTGATAAACAAGGATGGAAAATGGAAACTGCATAGAGAATGGTAAAAAGGGCAGAGTCAGGAAAGGGCAGGCCAGGTTCCCACAGAGAGAAGCTCAATTTCTGGAAAGATATCTCAGCTGTGGGGTGTTGCCACTGAGTACTCCTCCCAAGCTGGGCCCCCGAGCAGAGAGGACCACAACTGAGAAAGATGTTCACGTAACATCTGGCTGTGTAAAGCAGCAGGGTTGTTGTCTGCCAGGGAGAGATGACTGGATATGCAGTCACCCTCTTAAAGGAACAATGCACAAAATTTTGTGTGCTGCCATTCACCTTGTGCTCTGGCAGGGGGAGGACAGAGTGTACTGGAGTTGTGTGAGCAGAATCCAGGGTTAGGGGTTTTGGGTTTAGAGCTTGGAAGGCAGACACCCTGTTTCCTGTGTTGAGTCATCCCCTCACACTGCAGAGGTCATCTCTCTCAGGCAGAACTTTGCTATCCAGGTAGTTATTGCCTGGCTGGAAGGACAGTTGATCATCCTTACTGGAAAACCCCTCACCCCATGGTGTGGAGTTTCTGAGGCCCATGAAGATACTGAGAATAGCAATTAGCCTCCAGGTAGAAGCACTGAAGGAAAAGCACTCACCACTCTGTGGCAATTGCCTGAGGGTTACTCAAGACTTAATCCAATCAGTGTGCAAGCAGAGGCAGGTTGCTGGAGGCTTTGAATCTTTGCCTGATATAATTAGTCAGAAATATCACTTGACCTTTCCTGCACTAGCGATTGGGAGGCATAGCAGATTTACCTAGTGCATAGTTCCAAATCCAAATAGACAGCCAAAATGAGGAGACAAAAAACCAGCTCACAAATGAAAGAGCAAGAGAATTCTTCAGAAGAAGAGATAAATGAAAAGGAGATAAGAAATTTATCTGATATAGGGGAAAATCAAGATGGCAGCATATGTAAACACTGGAGTTTGCTGCCTTGAACAACCACTTCAAAAATACAACTATAAGACAGAACGAACATCATCCAGAACCACAGGAAGGCTGGCTGAGTGGAAATTCTACAACTAGAAGGAAAAAGAAAAGCATACTGAGACTCAGAGAAGGTGCAATGCGGAAGTAATATACTAAGGTACAGAGGTGCACACGGAGCGGGCTGGTGGCTGCGGGCGCGGTTGTCATTTTCAATCGGGAGGGAGTCTCAGGCTCTGAGCTCCAGTTCCGGGCGAGTCTCTGGGGACCCAAACTCATACGGGAGAAGTGGGACTGTCTGGCATCGGTCCGAACTTGAGGGCAGCTTTCTCTTGGTGGGGCTTGCAGCGATTGCCGAGACACTGAGAAGCTGGGCCTCTGAGAGCAGCCATAACTGCTAGCCCCACCCTGTTGATCCTGTGGGATTCGCCCCGCCCCGCCCAAGCCCTGCAGGGAGGCTTTTGCTGGATAGCCTCAGGCAGCG